ACACATATACACATACACACAGCATACACACATACACACAGCATACACATACACATACACACAGCATACACACATACACATACACACAGCATACACATATATACATACAGTATGTGAGCAAAAGAAGGGACATTGATCTTAGTCAAGGGTGATCAGGGAGTGCTTCACGGAAGAGGGTGATTACAAGTTAGGGCTGAGGATGAGACGCTGTTTGTATAGGAGGGCTTGTGTGGTGGGGAGGGTGCTTAGACAGGAGGAGACAGTGTGAGTGATTGGCACTGGCTTTTCAAGGAACCAAAAGGAAGTCTGTGTGTGGACTGAGAACATCCTCAGAGGTTTCTTAAAGCACGGGGCTGGCAGCAAACAGGTGCACACGGAATTTAGAGTTAAGTGACATGAAAAACTTTAGTTTGTGTAGTTTTTCTTTTCATTTTGTTTTGCTTTTGAGATGGCATCTTTCCACAGAGCCCTGACTGTCCTGGAACCCACTACATAGACCATGCTGGCCTTGAACTCACCAAGGCCCCTACGCCTTTGCCTCTCAAGTGCTGGTGTTAAAGGCACACATCATGACACCCAGTCTGAAATGCTTTAACTTTTATGCTGAGAACTTTGGGCTGCATTCTGCAGGCGTGAGGAAAGTGTTCAGTTATTTTCATGTTATGGTAGCTGAGCCTAATGTCTGTCCCTCCATACATGGGCACAGAAATGGCTTCCTCTGTTTTAAGGCCTCATGGTGGGCGTGAGGATGCAAGATTGTGTTCCTGTCCTCGTCCCTCATCAAGTAGTGTGCTTCTCATACAGAGTCCGTGGAGGCGGGGCCCAACAGTCTCTGTACTTTAACAAGTGTGTGGCTGTCCACACATGGGCCACCATGGTCCCTCCTCACTCAGCCTTTGTGACTGTTTCTCCTGCTTCCGGAATTCAGAAAGTCAGTACTCAGACATTAGCACCTTCTATTTGTAATTGGTTTTCTTCGGCTTAGTCAAACAGTCTGGTTCTCTGAGGAACTGTTAGGTGTTTCTGGTATTTACCCTGATGCTTGCTGTTGCCGTCAAGCCCAGGTCTTTATACACGCTAGGCAAGTCTACCTCCCGAGGAGTTATATCCCAGCCCCTTGCAGTTGGTTTTGGCATCCCATGAAAGGAAATGTATTTGGCTACTGTTCAGAAATAGCTTTTCTCTCTACATACCCTTACCTGCTGTAAGGATGAGAATTCCAGCTCTGCCATAGGTTGAAGATAGGAGTCTCCACCGACTTCCTCCTCTCTCCCTCTCTGCTTTCTGTTCCTGCCTCCCTCCTTTCTGTTTACATATGCAAGTATTTTCTTCCTTCCTTCTCTCCTCCTTCTTCTCCTCTCCTCTTCCCCTTTCCTTTTCCTTCTTCCTTCTCTCCTCCTTCCTTCCTCTTCCTTCTCCTTCCCTTTCCCTTCTCCCTTCTTCCTTCTCTCCTCCTTCCTTCCTCTTCCTTCTTCTTCCCGTTCCCTTCTCCCTTCTTCCTTCTCTCCTCCTTTCTTCTCCCCCTTCCTCCTTCCTTTCTCCTTTTCCTCCTCCCCTTCTTCCCCCTCCTTCCCTCTTATTTCTCTCCTCTTCCTTCCCCTTCTTCTCTCCTTCCCGCCTCCTTCCCTTCTGCCTCCCCTCTTCCTCCTCCTTTCCTTCCCTCTTCCTCCTCTTCCTTCTTTCTTCCTCCTTGCCCTTTTCCCTCTTTCTCCCCCCCTCCTTCCTTTTTCCTCTCTTTCTCCCTTATATATTGTTGACTGTGGGTAATGGTTTAGAGTCCGGGTAAACCTGTGCTTTGGCTTCTGTGAAATCACACGGTCCCAGTCCCAGTAGTTGGGATCAAGAGAGGGTGTGTCTGGAACCTTCTGCTCCGCTCCTTCCCCTGATGCTATCCTGCGTGGGAAATGTAGTCACCTGTGCTCTCCTTCTCTGTGACTGTTGTCAGGATGACAGCTCAGGAGCCGAGCCGCCCGGCCTCTACCACCTTTACCTCCTGCACCCAGCCTTCCCCTCTCTCCTCCTGGAGCTGAGCAACACCACTGGCATAGTGACAGCTTCGGAGGGTGAGTTCCTGTGACACAAGGGTGTCCTTTGCTCACCAAGGGAAGGATAAGGGCGTTTCAAGAGGCAGTAGTATCATTTCCCTTGGTGTTCCTGGCACCAGGGCATTGATGGGCAGCTTTCTCAGAGTGCTAGGGTGAGAATGCATATTCTCTGGACGTGCTGACAGCTGAGGAGAACTGTACCCTCTTTCCAGGAGGAATCCAGGGGTGATGGTGGAGCCTCTGCTGTGTGCCAGGTGCCTGCAGGGTTTAAGATTGGCAGTTAACTGTGTGGGGAATAATGGAAGGAGAGATGCTACTTCCAGGGCATTGGTTTAGATGTTACTTCTGTGAATATTAAACACACTGTATCGAAATTGGAATGGACAGAAGAACCAAGCAAGGGAGAATTATTACCCATGACCTGACCACTCCGAACGTTTGAGAGTATTATTCTTTGTTGTGCATTTACCTAAGTAAACTATAAAGCAGATTTGAGAGCTTATAATAGAAATACTCCATTCAGGAACCCACAGCCCTGGAAACTGAACCACTGCTGTCTGCCAGTCTCAGCTGGGCTCCTATTGGTGGACGGGCGAGGAGGGAGACCAGTCTAGCCACAGCTCCCTGTTGTCTTTCTCTTCCAGCTAGGGAGGGGACAGTTAGGTCTCATATAGATAAGGCTGACCTGAAACTGGCTCTGTAGCTGAGGATGGCCTTGAACCCTCGACCCTCCTGCCTTTACCTCCCAAGTGCTTGATTGCAGGTGTGTACCCTTACACCAAACTCCTTCATGCCTTCCCTCACTCTAGTGCCTCTCATCTTGGCTCCTTACAGCTCTTTGCCTTGAGCTGAAGCAATACCGTCTGTCCTCTATGCTCCGAGCTTCATGGGACAGAAAAGCTGATCTGGAATGTGCAGGCTGTCTACTGGTTGGGGAGTGGGTGGGCGTCAGCTTGCAGAACCATGTAAGAGCTATAAATAAGATGGTTTGCAACATCTGCATGAGATATGGTAAAGAAGAATCTCATGGGCTGGGGATGGAGCCCCCTCGGCGCAGTGCTTGCCTAGCACGCAAGAGGCCCAGGGTTCGATCCCAACACTGGGGAGGTAGAGGCAAGAGAGTCAAAAGCTACAGAGACAGTTCAAGGCTGCTTACCAAGCTAGGCCAATACTCTGTCCTGGTCCTCTACATGTCTGTCCTCCAGAGTAAAGCACCACAGTTACCTCAAACCCTGGGCAGAGGAGAGAAGAGTGTCAACAGAGGACGAGGGAGGGTTGGAGGAAAGCTGGCTGAGTTAGAAGCTCACAGTGACAGCGTGTTAAGGGGAGGTACCAGTGAGCCTGACAGCACTAAAGCTCTGTAGTTGTATGGAAAAAAGAAGAACCTCGTGTCCCTCTCAGACAAGTCCTGATAATTCCTATTTTAAAGACAAGGCAAGGAGTCGAGCGTAGGACCTTGTGCCTGTCGTATAAATCCATGTGACGACCTGTGGTGCTGGACAGAGTCACTCCTCTCTTGCTAACCGCTTCCTGTCATTGTCCTTCCTCAGTTGGAATCAATGACATCTGGAAAGATGCCTTTTATGTCACCAGGACAACAGGGATGAGCCCCGAAGGACACCCTGCCTCTCTGGTGGTCAGCAAACTTAGCCTGCGCTGGGCACTCATGGAAGGCCAGATGATCCAGTTGAAGGAGACCACCCCTAAAATTGGCCGTGGGGAACTGCGAAGATTCTTGTCTAGGATAAAGTTTGTTGATTCTCCCTACCAGGTAACTAGCTCATTAATTACTTTTTAACTAAAATAAATAAATAAATAAATTTATCACATCTATGTGTGAGGCTCACACATGCCCTGACACATGTTTAGAAATCAGTGGACAGTTATAGAAATTAGTTTTCTTCCGTGTGGGTTGTCAGGCATCTAGAAATGTGGCATTGTGGGGTTTTTTAGCCATTCCAATGACTAGAGAGGATAGATCTTCCTGGCATTTACTTCGTAGGGAGTAATGATGTTCATATCACATAGCTTCGGTTTACAGAACCTATATACCACATAGTTATCTTGCTGAAAACACCAGCCCTTTTCCTTAAAAAAAAAATATATATATATATATATATATCTGGGCCAAGTTCAAAGTTGAAGAGCTTATCACTGAGAAGGACCAAGTCCCTGGGGCTCACAAACTGTTGGAGCTAAACAGGACTGAGAAATGAAGAAACATTCTGATATTTAGATTTCCCATTGCTTTGGAAATCCCATTTAAAGAGGGTAATAATGGTCATTTCCCCACAGTTCTAGTGCAACAGAATTCGTCAGAGTCAGAAGAACTCTATGGACTTGCTCCTGTCTCTCCTGTGTCAGTTCTCTGGAGAGAGGATGACTTCGGGGCCATGCAGCACTTGGGATCACTGTGCTTTGGCAGCCTGTTGGAGCTGAGAGATGTAGCATGGTCCGCTTAGCTGGGGAATCTCACGACCTTCCCATCCCTGCACTAACCCCTTCTCCCAAGAACTCTGTGTGGATACTTTGGAAATGTGAATCTTATAGCTGTTTATTTTTAAGTTTTTTTTTTGTACCTTTAATTTATAAACCCTTTCGGGGAAATCCAGTGGCCTACAAGCAGGATATATGTTGTTTTACGTTAGGCCCTGTGTATGTGTGTGTGTCTCTGTGTGTGTCTGTGTGTCCAATGTTGTAACAATTATTTCTGAGATATGCCCCAAGCTTCAGGAATTCCATTTCTTATCCTCATGAAGGTCGTCTGGCTTGGCCATCTTGATGCGTCCTGAGGGTCACACACCACTGTTTTCTCTCCGCCTGTACTATGGTTCCTTTTCAACTCTAGACAGCAGTGAGAAACACTGGATGTCGTGATCGGGCTAGTTATCCAGTATGCCCATCTGTCTGTCTCCTAGGCCCTCCACCTGTTGAGTGGTCATGAGAACAGACATGCCTCTAACACAGAGGGAGCAAGGGAAAGACTTTCCAGGACTCCTGGTCCTTGTGTCAAGCCCCTCGGGCTTCGATGGCTCTGCAGCTGTGATCTCTGATTCTGCAGTAATGACAGAGGGTCTGCATGCACACTGTCCTCAGCTTAAAGTTGGAAGTCCCATGGCCTTGTCCTGCCGCAGCTCTGCCCTCTCGCTCTGAGTCTTCTCTGGGACATCTCCATCTCCTCTTGCTTCCTCTTTTATTCAGGGATCTGTTTCTGGACTTTTGCTTCTTGGCTCTGGTATGCAACCACTCTGGCCCCATGACCTTCCCTCCTTGTAGAGCTTTGTAGCATTATATTCTGAGAAAGTTCTCACGTAAACACTTTTTATAATGACCAAGTTCTTTAGAATTATTGCCATCCTTTTCTGCCCCTTTCTTTGTAAATGTGTGACCTCTTTTACTCTTTCAAATGTCTATGTCGTTCTAGGATATGCCGTCTGTTCTCATGGTGGCGTATGAAAAGGAAGTTCTCTTGAGGGAAAACCAGACTCTCTCCTCACTTGGCCGTGTGTGTCTTTTTAGCTTGTGTTAATGACATCCCAGGAAACTAGATTCTAGGTTTAAGGGGCTATCTATGAATTGCCCATAATCGATGTTATGGGTCACAGAGGTTGGTACTTGGTCCATCCTGCAGATTGGCCTCACCAGACTTGTTGGTACCCCTGCCATAAAGATCAGAGAAGCATATTTGGAAGTCATATGGGACCAGGCTGACTTTGGGTAGGGGAACAATGGATAGGATCCTTTAGAGTCTGGAGATGATTCTAGGTTCATGTCTAGTAAGTTGAATTTCTGCCAGTAAAAGGGTTTAGAATATAGTTTGGATTATGGACTAGTTTGCAGTGGACTAACATGTCAAATGGGTGGTGGTCTTAAGGTCTTACTGAGCCCCTGTAGGTAAAGTGTGTTCTCTGCAGTATTGATGTTCTCCGAGAAGCCAGCTAGTACAGGAAGGGGTACGATACAAAGATACTCAATGGAGACACGTTTGGGTGGTGTTGCTCAGTCTGGAGGCTGTTTTTGCTCGTTGAGTCTTAGAGGAAGCTATGTAGACAGTATCACTGAATTCTCGGTGTTTTGGTAAATAACATCCTAACTTCTTACTAGAAGTGTGAATCTCTTCCTTGCTGAATGCAATGGAAATTCTAGGCTTACTTCCTGTTGCAGCTGGTACAGAAAGGTAGCTGAAGGTTGAGACGGCTTCATCTGGCCTCCTGTCAAACACCTCCCTGAACGTCCTCCTCATGGCAGGCAACAGCTCACCCAGATATCCAGGATAGGAAGTGTTCGATGTGGGTGGCCCACAGAACCAACCTGAGCACTCCTCAGAAGTATTGCTGTCTGCAGGGCAAGGCTGTCCCCTCCTCTCAGCCTCTCCTCTCCTTCCTTTGTAAGCCCTCCCCCCTTTGCCCTGCACAACATCCTCACCAGCCCCCAAACATGCGGTGTGGTGATACCGACTAGCCCCAGGAATGTGAATCGCTGTCCACTGTGACCTGCGTTGAGGAGCAGCCGGGGATTTGTTGCCAGAAATCACCGTTTAAAATGTGAACTGCTACAGAACAAATAAATGGTGTGTACAGGAATATACACGTGTGGCTTTCTCACTCTTCCTGCTAACCAGGATGGCTCACTTCCCTTGTGGAATAAAGGTGAATAGACGGCTGGCATCCTTTGTGGGGGAAAACAGTGGGACCAGTTTCTGTGATGAGTGAGCAAGTGGGTATCCAGAGGGGGAACGTCTGACCCAGTCTCAACGGTAGAATGAGACTGTATGAGTCTCCTCTGGGAACCCGGGAGGCCATTTCTCGAAGGGAGCCTGATGTTATAGGCTACGGAAACCTCCATGGAACATACTACCTCCCCAATGGCGTCTAGGGCCATATTTAGCAATGTTTTTATTTTTAAAATTATATCTGTGTGTGCCATGGCACGCATGCAGATGTTAGAAGACAACTTTTAGAAGGATCCAGGAATCAACTTCAGGTTGTCAGGGATGTGCAGCAAGCAGTTGACCACTGAGCCATTTAACCAGCCTATTTATTTTTTTAAAGTCGTTTTGAGATTTATTCTGTGTGTGTACGGGTGGTTTGCCTGCCTGTATGTCTGGCATGTGCATGCATGTGTCTATGGAGGCCAGGAGAGGGTGTTTAGATCCTCTGGAGCTGGAGTTACAGTGAGTGGTTAGCCACCATTAGTGGAATGCATGTCCTCTGCAAGAGGAGCCAGTGCTCTGAACCACTCAGCCTTCTTTCCAACTCTGTAACTGGCCCATTGAATCATACTTTAAAGATTCAAGACACTTGTAATGACGTGTACAGCATGCCCTCAATAGTGTCTCCATCTTCCTATGTGTGACTTCCAGAAGAACCCTAGTACATCACAGATAAGTCACCATCAGATTGCTTAGCTGTGGTTCTTCAACTTCCAGACAGCTGACCAAGCTTTACCAGACCCTTAAAGGTAGGAACTGTTTTACACTTGCCCTTTTTATCCAGATCTAGAACCCGCCGCCTTAAGCAATCAGTGAAGAGGTGGTGGTTCTGGAGACTCGAGATGGGAGACGGATAGGAGGGGAAGGAGGCAGAGCAATGGCCTCTGGGTAGTGGTGGTGTACAACCTTGAATCGCAGCACTTGGGAGGCACAGGGAGGTTCTCTTACTCTTAATTTCTATAAATAAGGCTCAGGAGACATGTTTGCTTAAGCAGATGTTGATAGTGAGCGACACCTATGGTAGGCCTTAGCCTGCGTCCCAAACCCACTTAACTCCTAACGCTGCTCTTCTACGGATGACTCGGACACTTCTTTTAGCTCCTGGCTGATCCCTGGTTGAAATTCCTTGTCCTGTAGCGCTGAGTAGAGATCTATACCTTCGGAGACAGATCGGATGGGATGGCTGGGGTACTGATGGCAGCTGGTCAAAGGTTCCCCGGCGTGGGCTGCACACGCCAGAGGAGGAGGGAGACAGCCGTGGTGGTGTGGCAGGGAGCTGGGGCTGGTGTTAAAGCTCTTACTGTGCCTGCACTTGAACTCCAGAACCATCCTTGTGTAGGTGTTGAAGGTGGTGACGGCTGACGCCATGCAGCAGGTAAAGGAAACCCAGGCCGTGCTAGGGGCAAACACAAAGGAGGGCCAGTTAAGGGTCTGACTCTGTGGTAAGAAAAGCACACCATGCATTCTGCCACATACTAGGCGCTGTCTTTAGGGGCATACGGGGACCTGAGTATATTGCCTTCTACCATGCTGCTGTAAAGGATGGAGAGCAGAGGACTTCATCTGCCTTCATTTTGTAGTCAAAGAGGAAACAAGTCTACCGCACTGAGTTCCACCACTTGCCACCGACCTCCATGCTTTGATGCCTCTTGTGTGGTGTGTTTATTCACCCCTATAAAATCTCCTAGACTCCCCAGACTTGAGGCTCTGATCTATGCGGTAGGCAGGTTCAGACGCACCCCCCCCTTCTTTTTTCCCTTCATGCCCTTTGCCAAAGAGACCCTTTTCACCCTGATCCTGGGGCAACCTTTCCTCCATGGCCCAATGTTGTGTGGAACTTAATTGTTCCCAAGTTGAGCCTTTTGAGTCATTCATGAAAACATTTTACTACAGCTCTGAAGACATCTCCCTTTGCTCTAGTGGACTGATTAGAGTCCTCAATTGTAAACCATTGCAGTTGAGGAAATGGTTGGATCCAATGTGGAAAAGCCCCACTGTTCCTTCATTGTTATGGAAATGTGAGCCCAGCATCCTGTGTTTTCTGTGCTTAATGCCCTCGGCATTTTTTTTAACCAGATCTACTGGAGGTTTATTCAGGAAAAGTGAGACTCCTGGGGGTGGAGGGGCTCCAAGCAAAGGCAACATTCAGCTTGAATGTATGGAAGGTGGTACACACCTGTAATCCCAGTGCTTGAGAAGTGGAGACAGGGGAGTTCACAGCCAGCCTTGGCTACATAGTTAGAGGCTAACTTGGGCAGCATGAGATAGATCCCACATCCCACAAAAGAAATGTAAAATGATCGAGCCCTTTGTGTTTAAGACTAGAGTGTGGAAGGAAATGGTATTGTGCAAGGCAACAGGGTTGGTGTTGGTTAAGCTTTTACTGTGCAGATACTTTGGACTCCAGCACCGACCAACTGCGTGGGGACAGCTGGTGCCATACAGTTATATTTCTAGCAGGTTCAGTAGAGTTAGAAACTCTGGCGTTAGGAAGAAGCTATTCTTGGAGTAAGGGCATATATACTGGATGCAAGAGATTCAGTTGAGTCTCATTGATGGATCAGATGGAGTTCAATCCAAATTTCAAGATTATAATTATTGTCTGTATTTCTCTAATACCCTGAGTCATAAAACATGTAGCATAGTTCTTACAAGCTATATAAAACCAGCTTTGCTGCTCAAGGACAGACAGTATGTAGATCAGACAAAGAAGCAACTATTACAGCTGCTGAGCAGAAAAGCTGGATCAGGTTGTATCCTCAAAGCAAGAGAGAAGAATGGTCTATGTACCCTCCAAAGGCAGAGATAGATAGATAGATAGATAGATAGTCTCCCTGGTCCTGTTATGCATTTGACTGATGGATGAGGAGAACCTGGAGTTGGGTTGTGAAGGTTCAAGGTAAAAGGATTACTTACTAGAAAGCCCAGCCATAATTCCAAGAATGTGGTCTCCAGTCCTCTGGACCTAAGTTGGCAGTTGCCTGGAAGACTTGCGAATATAGCATATGAGCCACCATCCCCAGAATGCCTACGGAGGAACAAGAATGCAGAAGCGTGTGTGGCATCTAGCTATTGGCACCAGGGTCAGTCTGCCCCAGGCATCCATGGCTCCTTTGCCGTTGCTTTTCTTGGGAAACTATGGGAGTCTCTGAGTCTCTCTCACAGCTCATTTTGAGTTCTTCCTACACATTGGTCTTCATTCTGTGTGTGTGTGTGTGTGTGTGTGTGTGTGATTTTATTTCACTTTAAATTTTAACCAACAATGACTGTGTGGTAAAACTATATATTCTGGTTGGAAAGTAAAGCTAGCCAAAAGTTTTACATATTGAGAAAGCTTGCAAGTAAAGGAACCTAGAAGCGAAAGCATGTATGAAGGACAGAACGTACAGTTTCACACACTACTTCAACTTGAAGTGAAAGGCTTCTCCTGCACAGTATATTCTGCCGTCTGTCTGTGTGATTGTATGCATGAGTGTGTGTGAGTGCCTGTGTATATGCACAAGGGCCTTCAGGTTTTCTCTTATTCCCTCAAGGTACCTTGCTGAATTTAGACCTAACTACTTTTTGCCTAGCTAGCTGGCCAGCAAGTCTTAAAGATGCTCCTGTTTCATACTCACATGCCCAGAGCTGGGGTTGCAGGTGCAAGTGGCCATACTCAGGTTTTATATGGTGCTGGAGATTCTAACTCAGGTCCCCAACTTGAGCAACCAGAGCTCTTACTCATTGAGCTACCTTCCCAGATCCCCCCCCCACACACACACACACCCCTCCCCCAGCTTTTCTTCTTGCTTTTCAGTCCTTTCCTCCTCTCAGGGACAAAGATCCAAGCCTTGAATGTGGCACTTCACATTGACCCCTGTGAACCAAGTCATGGTCCAGTACGCACCCCTAATCCCAGCCCTTAGAAGCTTCAGGCCAGCCAGCTCTACATGAGTTACAGTCTGTCTAACCTAGTTTATATGGGAAGGCCCTGGGCCTTGTCTCACAAAGCAAAACATCCCAAGGAGCCTGGAGAGGAGGCACATTCTGCCACTGCACAGTCACTCACCTGACAGGACCAAGGAGACGGCTGCAAACGCGCTTAGCTTGAGCCCACAGCCAGGGTTGCTGGTGAGCAGCAGATCTGTCAGTAGCAGGAGGAAACTGATGAATTGAAGTCCAATATAGGCAGTTTGGGCTCCCAGTGACAGCCAGAGGACCTCTGTGAGGAGCCAGGAAAAGAAACCCCACCCAGAAGGTGAGCGATCACCGTGGACACACGTGCCCACTAGAAGTCAGAGGCCCGGAGGGACAGGTAGAGAGAAACAAATCTGGAACACACGCCCAGTGTCCACGAGGAACCTGCATCTCGCCTCACATACATGTGATAGGCTGTGCGCACTGCTAAGCTTCGCCATGAAACAGACTCCTCCATTTTCACAAACCCTGTGCTAATTAATCACCATTCCTGTCTTTCTCTTTAATTTGGGCATGTGTTTTTATTTTCTGGACCTTTCTCTCCTCTTTTAGTGAGGAAAAACTTGATGAGGCGGCATCCACCTGTAGTTCCACTAAGAGGGTGGTTGGTAGAGGCAGGAAGAGAGTAAGCTCTCAAGGCTAGCCCAGGTACAGAGACCCCATCTCAAGGAAACCAAACCAAAGCTCAACATCCCCTCCCCCATCAGTAAGAAAACAGGGAGGAAAGGAAGGAGCACTTTTTGATGTGTGAGCTGCACTCCTACATGTGAGAGTCAGCTTCAGGAGGAATTCCTGTCAGCCTGTGGGGCTCTGAGGTAGAGAAAGGAGATCAGAGCGCAGTTTAGATCCAGAGAGGCCCAGGTCTACAGTTACCGAACACGTACTTGCCACGGGCCCCCAGGGGAGGTGGAGGAGAG